CCATGGACAGCCAATGTTTCCTCCTTGTGTTCTGCCATCTGATTTCCATATCACCCCTCACTCACACCAGCGGGCATTAGCATAACAGAGCTGTAGCGTGACTTTGATTGAAGCCAGCTTGGGCTGAATGCAGTATCAAAGCATAATTTAGCAGAAATCAAATCTAATTTGCTGTGCATTGTATTTAAATTCGCGAAAACACAGCTTCAAGTAAACAGTACCAGACCTCTAACCTTAACTGACCTTCTTATATTGGGGTCTACCCCTCTAGAGATCACACAACATACTTTTCTTATAGAGCTGTTGTTTTTAACGTGTACATGTGTAATGAACATTGAATTGTGTCCCTCTGTTTTCTTCATCTCATTTCTTGTTATAACTGAAGCAATAAGGTGTAATCACTTAACAGATTAAGCAAGTAGGTTATTACACCATAGTTATAAAAGATTTGTCTAAATGCTTTGGGTTTTAGAGAAGATATAAATATGTATTTTATAGTCTTCTGTCTTAGAAATATATAGGAGAATTGCCATTTCTGTAACTAGCGTATTCTTCTGGAGTTCACAACTCAAACTCTCTAATTCACATTGGGTGTAAATGTGTGTTTTGAATTGTCATCTTGAGGACCTAATTGTGTTTTTTTTTATATTTTATATAGAAAATTCATTTTGTGTATAGCACGCTTTGTGCCATTGTGCTGTGTTGATAAAATGCCACCTCTGTGCCTACTCCCTCCCATTGGTGCCATCAGCCAAGTACTGTCTTTTCAAACCATTTTCACTGCCACCTGGCAGAAATACTGAAACTGTGAAGTGTTATCAGAAGAATTATTGATGCAGTTTTTCATATAAAACCTCAAAAATAAATTCTTTCAACTGATATCCCTTCACAGAAAGTGACAATGTAGATCTTGGATGGAGAAGTAGAGCCTACAGAAGTAAAAGTGATGGATGCGATTTGTTTTAGTGGTTCAACTTCAGGCGACAATAGGAAAGGGTGTACATTTTCAGAGACTTGGACACTTTTCACATCTTGTACTTTATTAAATATTTTAGTATCTTTAGATTTTTTTAATTTTAAAAATGAAAGGGGATTCCAGTTCCAACAAGATCAGTGTGACTTAAGTTCTGGTGACAAGAAACTATTTGGTACATTAGAAATACAGTGTATTTACAACTTGGAATAAAAGTACAATATAAATAAACGTCATATTAAATGATATCTCAGCCTGAATAGCACAAATGCTGATAGCATTTTGTTAGTTAGTAGTCTTTAAAAATTCAGTACTGGGTTAAAAACTCAAGAAACTTTGATTTCCTGGTCTGTTGATTACACTATTGGTGGTAAATATTACACTGTGATATTGTGAAATTTCCTTGTCCTATAAGAGTGCTTATGAACGATTATATTTAGGTGCTACTGTGAACATAGGAATTCTCAACTGAATTTCCTGTCCCAGCTTGCTAAGATTTTTCAGCTTCTTATCTGCCCTTTCTCTTTTAGAAAGAACATTCTTTCTAAAACAGAAACCTTATTAGATCTTTTTTGCATAAACATCTTTGAATGGGTCTCCATTCTCTCTTGGGCAAAATTTAATCTCCTTTAGCATAAATTATCTGGCCCTACCTATATCACTTCTGCATCCCTGATTTTATTTTCAAAACCATATACATCCTCCAAACACATCCATTTCCACATGTCTCTGGCTGTGTCTGCTTCTCTCTGTCCCAAGTGACCACACTCCTCTTCATCTAATGAACTCTTACTTGAGCTTCAAAACACAATTCAAATGTAGCCATCTCCTGGCAACCTTCCTCTTCTTTCCTCATCATTTGGTGTAGTTTGCTGCTCTTCCATGCTTTTTCCCTCAATGCCCTGCTTTTCGTTTTTATTTACTTATTTACTTGGAAGTCTCTGCCATAAGCCATGAACAGTTTTTTATTTTGTTTTCATCCATTCCCTGTACCAAGCAGAATGCCTCATAATTTGTAGCCAATCAATATCTTTTGAATGAATAAATGAATGAATATCTTTTCCAAAAAGTGGTTGGATAGATGTGGTCATTTGCTAGTCTTTACCTTGGGAATTATGCTTTAGCAGCTGTGTTAAAATTGTAGGATCTGGATTCCAGAAGCATTTTGCAAAATCAGTTATCTACCAAAATGTTTTTGAAAGCTTAAAAAAATCAAATTCAAAAAGTCTGTAGTTAAAATTAAAGTATAGATGGTAATTTTACTGAGATAGATGATAGATAGATAGCTGATAGGTAAACAGGAAGCATAATATGCTTAAAACTATAAAGTAGGTTTTCATTGCTTCCATTTGATGTTTCACCTGATTTTAATCATGTATTTTCTCAGTTATCACAATTTAAACATTATATAAAGAAGGACTTTATAGTGCATATGGGGCTCTAAATTTTTACTAACTAGTTTTACTAACTAGTTATGAGAGCCAGTTCAAATTCTTTCTAGTCCAAAGCAGTACAAATGAACTAATAAGCTGAATATGTGACTTTTGTCAAACACTGTTAACTGATTTTTATTATATTGACTTTTTAAAAACTTTTTTATAATGAGATTCAAGCTAAGTTACTTAATACTACTTATCTACTTAGTGTCCATGTTGGCACTAAACTTCTCTTTCATAGAATCACTAAGGATTAAAGAAATATACATTGAGTTTTAAATTTGTATTAATATACACAATTTTTCCTGAATATTACAGATGATAAAGACCAATCAAGTATTTTTTGGTAGGAATATCTGGTGGGCACTACAGTGTTTTAAGAGTCATTCCTAAAGTAATTCTGTAACATTGATTTAAACTATCATTCCTATTAGAAAACATGGAACAAAAATCGGTGTATCTGCTGATTCAATGGAATGGTGTGAAAATAACAAGACCATAAGAAGCAAGTAATCTCCTGCAAATGCAGGGCAACATAAGTCACATTCCTTTCAAATAGATCCATAAATTTGAGCTCTCCATCCTGTTAAACTGAGTCTTCTGTTATCTATAGTTATAGAAGAAAATTTCACTTAGTTGGTTTATTCCTTTTATCCCTGGAGTATATGTTGAATGTGTTAAATTAGGAGACAGTGTAATAGAACACCAAAAAATAAGCCAGTACAAATCTCAGTGAATTTTTTGAAAAAATGCTTCTACTGTTGCTATGCCAGCGTTCTTCTAAGAATGAATAATTGGCTGTATGTTTGAGGCTACCCTACATTTACTCTGCTGTTGGACCTGCAGTTATGTAATCTTGAAGGACTGAAAGAATTCTGGGTAAAGGCTTTACTGAGTGGTGCTTATAGTTAAAATTCTTCAGGGTTCAAATTTTAGGGTTGTGGCGTTGTATGCCAGGTCCTAAAACTTAGAGTTCATTTTAAAGTCTTTTTCTTGGTCTTAAGTTTTCCAGCATAAGCAAGGAGTTACAGTAGAAGCAGATGATTAGAAAAGTCATGAATAAACATGCTGTTTTCTCTTCAATAGGAATGGGTTTGGTATGGAGAGGATGTCCCCGTGAAAACTTCCATTTACACCGTCTAATGTTTTTCACTTTCTTCTTTCTCTTTATAATTAGCCCCAAATTTAATTGGAACTTTCTTAGCATTTAACCCTACCCCCCTTTTTTTCCTATTGGACTTACTTGTACCTAGGTCTCATTATTTTTGCCAACACCATTTTACTAGTCTTCCAATCACATTCTCTACTTAATTGACTAATTTGTCTCCCTTAAATTATTGAATGATTTGAATATATACACAACATTCATTAGTGGGCTAAAGCTTCCACAATTTTTGCTTTTCATTTATCACTCCTCAGCTTAGAAACAGAATAAAATCCTCAGTTTGGCTTCTCAGGATCTTCTAAGTCTAGATCTAAATCTATCTTTTGTGGCCAGTAGTGTTTACACAGCAGGGACCCTACAGTCCTGCAGGATTACACACTGTTCACTAGATGTGTTCTCGCTTCTTGGGCTTTGCTCAGTTAGCTCATTGCTTGGAATGTGTTCATTTTTTTACTTCTCTAAATGCTACCGTTTCTTAAAACTTCCCTAATGTTCATTTCTTGCAAAAAGCCTTTCACAGCTACCATAACACCAAGGGGTCCCTCTCTCTGGAAGTCCTATCCCTTGTAAGGTGTACTATAGGCTGTATTAGAACTTAAGTGCTGCTCCTCTGTGCCTGAGAGGGCTTCTGTCACGAACTTACCACAGTCCTACAGAACAGTTGTTTTTGTTTTGCTGTTGTTGTTGTCATCACCATTCTGTTTTGTATTTTCTGTTCTTCCTGGCTGCAGGGTATAAGCTTTTTATCTGTGCATCTTCAGTGCCCAGTAGGGGAACATGATAATTGCCTGACTAATGCTTATTTACCTAAATGAAATGAATTAAATAGAATCAACCACTTTCATACATTTCTTTATATTGTTAATTATCTTCGTATGTAATTCCCATGTCTTCAGTTCTTTGATGTTTTCAACACTTCGACTCTTCAAGTCCAGAAAACAAGCACTTTAAGAATAGGGATCATGTGTTATGCCTTCTGGTGTACCTGCGCCTACTACAACATCTTGCAAATATTATAAGCACAGTCAGTGTGTGTCACTAGATTGATTTCACAGGAAGGCGATGTTTGAGTAATGAAGTGATTCTTTTCTGTCTTTATTCTCAACACAATACCATATCGGGAAATGTTTTATTAAAAATTTTAGAAAATCATTAAAAACCCATTTTCCTATGCAAATATATGGGCTACGGGATTTACAATGTATAACATTTAAAATGCGTGTATTAATAATGTACTTCCTTTTTCACATTTAGTAGAGCGCTCTTTTCCTTTCCCCATTGTGTTTTGAGAAATGCTTAAAAATAAATCAGAAACTGTAGCCTCTGCCTGGCACTGAGCAATCCACCTAGTAGCAGATCTTCTCTTTGATAGATCTTTCTTTGTCAACAGTTTATATTTACACACTTTCTTTCCTTTAAATTATAGCTCCTCCACAGTTTGTGGTTAGGCCAAGAGATCAGATTGTTGCTCAAGGTCGAACAGTGACATTTCCCTGTGAAACTAAAGGAAACCCACAGCCAGCTGTGTTTTGGCAAAAAGAAGGCAGCCAGGTGAGTGAGAGTCTTGACCACTTTTCTGAAATCTGTGAACTTCCCCATTTATGATGGTCCTCAAAGATTTCCTTGCCTCTCTAGTTATCAACATTGAATTTATTTTATGTCTGAAAGAGAGGCTTAATTAATTCTAAAATAAGTGTGAATCAGATGTTCTAATATTCTTTTTTTCTAGTGTTAATTTTCTAAAATCATCATCTCACGTAGAATAGATACAATGCAGTGTAACTAAATTATCTGAAAAAGTCTAACCTGTTGCTATTTAAAATCTCTTTAACAGAAAGGTAAGTTTGCTTTTTCACATTGCTCTACATTAAGATAATTAAGTGAGTTAGTATATAAAGCACTTAGAACACCCTGGACATATGTAAAATAGTCAAAAATATTTCCATTATTAATTAGTCTAGAACCCAATTTCAACTTCCTTTCATAGACAAACAGTATAAATACCTTTTCTTTATCATTAATCCAAAAATGCTTCCTTTTAAGAGGAGAACTATTTTCTTCCATCATCCTTTCTGCATTCCCGCAGAGTGAGGTTACACAGGAAATAATATGTTACATACCAGATGGAACCGACACTTACCTTGTCTTGGCTGTGTGCTGGTTTGTCCTCTCAGGGCCCTCTCTGGGCAGCACGACCTCTCAGACTCTGCTAAAAAAGCAAATTGAGTACCACACTTTTCTCAGGTACAGCTTGGTCCAAACTTGGACAAGCACAGGCCTCCAGGTTCTGAGGCAATGAGAGGAATTTCCAGCTTAAACCAGATCAAAAATTGAATTCTTTATCTAAGAATGTATCTGTGCATTTCTGAGGGGCCTAGGGATATTTTTGTTCTAGACTTTCCAGAACCACCCCCAAAGAAGCATATAGTTCTCAGGAAGAGACCTACTGGCGCTCCTCCTTGGCACCCTCTGTTGTTAGTCCACGTTCTGGAAGAATTTCCCAGGCGAAAAATGGAAACAGCAATTAAAAACCTCAGACAATCTGAAAACTTTGCCAGAGATTAAAATGCTTTCGACTGAATTAAGAGAACCTGTTGATCAAAACCTGTGTATGATTATTTGGGTAGAGAGGCATCAAGAAGTTCCCCTCGGCCATCGTCTTTAATTGTTGTGCATTCCTATACAGTTCTGTACCACCCTAAGTTAGCCTATGGGTGGGCTAATTATCTTATTCCCTTCCTCAATGTTCCTTGTTGGATTCACTTCCCCTGTGATTTGTGGGATGTAAAGATAGTGATGGGAAAGATAAGGTAAAGTTCTGGCCACTGCCTTATCCTACATCAGGACTGTTCCAGAACTTACTTGCCATCTTGTTTAGTCATTCAAAACTATAAAATAGATTTCTACTCATAAGAGTTTCTTGATTCTTCATTTAAAATTGCTTTCAGATTAAAAATGCTAAAGTGAGTGTAAAGAAACATGATACAGTTATAACACACTTGAACATACTCCCAACCCACATACATAACCTGAAAAAGGAAAGAATTCTAAAGCCATTTTCCCTCCTTACGATTATACAACCTTATAGCATGATTAAATGCACTGAAACTCATTTTCTTAATCTAAAATATGAGGCTAATACATTTTACTCCATGTAAGTTATGAAGATGACATGATTAAGTGAGTTTATATGTAAAAGTGCTTTACACATTGTGAAGGTTAGAAATGGGGAAAATGCAGAATGCACTTGCTTTCCCTTGTGTCCTGGCTGAAGTGGCAAGTTTGTGCTTCTGGTCAGGCTAGGGCTGCCAGGGCCAGAGGTGTCCCTCTGCCCGGGCACAGAGGCTCGCTCGCTCAGCACTGCTCTGGTCACCTCCGTCCCCAGCCCCACACAGTGCTGAGAAGGCTGGAGGGCATGAACCTGGAGAGCCCTGGTAGCTCGGCAAGATTCTTCCTCCTGCCTGTAGTTCCTCCCCTCCACCCCGTCTGGGGGCTGTGAGGTCCATGAAGTTTCTCCCTCAAACCACAGATAGCATAATTATGCAAAGATATTATTTATTTATAAATGATATGAATATAATTATGTAAGTAATTTGATCGTTGTAAATTTACTCTTTAAATACATGTGTTGCATCAAATCCCATTCTAACATATCTTGTTATCATATAGATACAGCTACATCGTGTGTAAATCACATGTCCTAAAATAGCTCCAGGTTTATACATGCTATTGCATAAAATGTGTATTGGTCTTGTGGCCCAATAAACATGATATTTAAAGATGCTACATTGTGTTTTAATGGCTTTTGAACAAGGAATGTTCAAATAGCATTAAAGTCTTTTTTTTCCTGTTATTTGACAAAATGGCAGATAATTCCAGAGATATTAATCTCTGGGACTATTAGGTAATTTGATTTGATTATAATCTTAGGTCTGGTTTTCTTTTCTTCACCTATCTCCCTCACATCAGACAGAGGAAGAGAAGGAGGGAGAGAGGAAGGGAGGGAGGGAAGGAGGGAGAGGGATAGGAGACCGTGGTGAGAACAAAAGAGAAATGCTTGAGCAAATTGTAAATTTTCAAATCATGAATTGGGATACTAGGAAAAATAAGTTGGTCTTACTGTCTGCAGTATCCAATTTTTACCATGATCTATGACTGTTCATCAGTAGAGAGAGTTAAGAGCCTGGACTTAATGGTCCATATTCCTCAATATGTGCTGATAATGCCAATTAGCACTAATAGGATACAGGCACTTCAAGGCAAGAAGAGCACTGTAGAATTCCTGGGTTTTGCTTGTAATCCATTTTCTTTTGCCTATGTCATACAAGCAGGGAATAAAGATGATGGGTTAACCTCAATCATATGCCATTTTCCATGTCAACGAATCATTTAGAAGGTGGACTGGTAATACATTGTAGAGGAAGAGATCCCAGAGAGAATTAAGCCCATCTGATGTATTAGCGCTATGTAAATTAGTATTCTAATGGCTAATTGTAGGAAAGTGCACACTTTGAGTTATTGTATCATTTTCAAGTGGCTTTAAAATTTAGACCCTTCTCTTTAAGATGGTTTATTTCAGTAATATATTTGGATTCCACGGGAGAATTAGCTTGTTCTCAAATTGTGCTTCGTATGTATGAAAAAGTCTAGACTTACATATACTAATACAAATTTTATAGGGGGGCAATAGAATTTTGAAATTATATTCCTGACATGCTAGCAAACATCACTTCTTTTAGAAAGCATTTAATAACATGGTAATGTTTATGTAAAGTGGGCTTATAGTGCCCCACTTGAATCTAATAAAGTGGACATCCATCATGTTGCAATAAAGAGAAGAGCTTCTAATTAAAGTAGGACATCATTCTCAGGATTAAAGTCATTTGGTGTAATTGAAAAGTGTTAATACGCTATTTTATCCTCTTGCATTGGTATTACTTCAAGGGTAAAAACATTTTAAGGTGAAAATGTGTCTTATGCCTTTAATTGAATGTTATTACCTCCTGATTGTAACCTATTGAAACTGTTTAATTACAAACCTGGAAAATTAATTACTATATTGAGAAACAGATCCCAGAGGGTTATAATGTTCTTTTTTTGTAAGTAAATACAACATAAAAATGGATACATCCTTATTTATAATCCAACTTGAAAGCATATCTCAATATGATTTATTATACACAAATGTTTTTCTTAATCGAACAACAGTAAAGCAACATAGGTCATCCAAGTGAATGTTATTGCTCTCCTATAAGAACTTGCAAAATTTTGTGATTAGGCTACATGTATGTAATATGAGATATATAGTAAACTAATGCATTTTTTTAATTTTAAAAGGGTAATAATATGAAATTTTTTATCATATGCATACTTCAGAAACATCTCACATCTTTTTATTTTCAGTGATTCGGTTAATCTTGCTTAGATGGTAGCACTTCTACCTAGCTCCTTGCCTGTTACAACCTGCAGAAATCTCACAGCAGAAGTAGATTCAGCTGTCTCGGTGGCAGTGTCAGTTACACACACTTTTGAACATCTTTAGGAGAAATTCTGTTAATTACATCAAGTATGCAAAATGATCAGCAGAAAATATATTTTGCATTCTTTAGTAATATGCAGTTTACAAAACATAGTTAATGTTACATTCCAGATTCTCAAACATCTCATGAGTTGAGTCAGACAAGCATTATCATGCTTATTTTACAGATGAGGAAACCATATTTCAAAAATATTTGGAGGGGTGAATATAGCTCAGTAGTAGAGTACATGCTTAGCACGCACAAGGTTCTGGGTTCAATCCCCAGTACCTCCATTAAAAATAAATATATATGGTTCCTATATGACTGAAGTATGTGCTGCACACCAGAAATTGACACAATATTGTAAACTGACTATACTTCAGTAAAAATATATTAAAATAAATATATAAATAAGCCTAATTACCCACCCATCTCTGAAAAAAAAAAATTCAGTAACTCGCAGAAAGTCAGGGAGAGAGTGAAAGATTAAGGTAAAGACCTAGGTTTTTTTAGATGATTGTTCCTTCAACAAGAGCACACTCACTTCTTAGTGTACAGTATTTGCCCATGATTTAGAAAAACTTTCCCAGTGAAACTCATTGTGTGGCATTTAAACATTTCAATACCGTATTTTTAAATCTATGTATTTTCTTCTTTCAACCACGTTTCTACAACTGTAATAGCTGTTGTTAATATAATTTTCCTTCTGGGTGGGAAAAGAATATTGATAAAATTATTTGTTTCCATAGAACCTGCTCTTCCCAAACCAACCCCAACAGCCCAACAGTAGATGTTCTGTGTCACCAACGGGGGACCTTACAATTACCAACATTCAGCGATCCGACGCGGGTTACTATATCTGCCAGGCCCTAACTGTGGCAGGAAGCATTTTAGCAAAAGCTCAACTGGAAGTTACCGATGGTGAGATATTTTTAGATTTGTTTTAGGAAAATATTGATTTTTATTTCAAGATTCATATGAACCACATGAAATTTCTGATTTGTTAGTTACATCATTTAAATTAATGCTTATCTTCTAAGTTTGAATCTAGGTAAAATAATGTTTTTAATGGTTTCTAATTCTCCCTTATTTAATACCATTTACTTTCTCAGAGAACATATAATACAACCTATTTTATTCTTAAAAGTATAGTAATGAGTTATATAGAAATGTCATCTACATATTTTGATTTAATCTTATGGTGACATGATTGCTTCTAATGAATGGTAATAATTTTATTTTACTAGAGGACAAAAATGTCATCTTTAATATTATCAGTGGAAACATGAGTTTTTAGTTAGCTAATGACATTACGATATCCTATGGCTTTATAATTATACATTCACTAAGTTAAATTAATTAAATACCTTCCAAGTTATAAAGATGCTAAAATTATTCTTTTATTTGTACGTATGTACTACAGATCTCTACTGAAGCACCTGATTCATAGTGAAAGTTGAAGAAGATGTAGGGCTCTTCATAATCGGACTTTTTTCCCAAGAGCTTATTTATCATAATTGATAAGTAAGAAGTTTCAGATATTCAGTGAACCTCTGAGCATGAACTTAAGCCATATCCTTTGATATCTTAAGTTAAAAATTCTTGGAGGAGGATATAGCCCAGTGGTTAGAGTTCATGCTTAGCATGCATAAGGTCCTGGGTTCAATCCCCAGTACCTCCATTAAAATAACTAACTAAATAAACAAACCTAATTACCACCTCCCTGCCCTCACCAAAAGAGGCAAAAAAAAAAATCAACAAATATTCTCGTGCTCTTTTATATCTGTGAGATTTGTGGGGTAAAATATTTTTCCTCTGGACACTGGCTTCTGAGATAAAAGAGCTTTGGGCTGTGACCTCTCTGATTCTCTTCTTTCTCTGCTGAGCTTTCATACCATTCAAATTTGCATGTAGATTAAAAGGTCATTTAAAATTAATAGAAAGGCCATATTTTTTTAATGTCTGTCCATGGTATTGCCTGATTCAGCGCCATGTCAGGAATGGGAATAAATAGAACAGACAAACATTAGCTACGGGGACATTGAGTCGTTAATGGCCACACCTGCTGATGCTGCAGAGATTTACTGCTATGGGACTGAAAGAAGGCAGGTTCAAGGGGAATAGTGCTGAGAAATTCTTCCTTAGATGGGCAAGATCTTTGATCTTTTGTACCTCCATGTTTCTTTAAAAGAAATAAAATATAATTATTAATCTTTTTTTCAGTTCCTGTGTTTTCTTCTACTAGAAAAAAAATGTCTAGGTACATATACTTGGAAAATAAGATATTCTGGCCAATGCCTGTTTTATTCTGTGCTGCTATGAAACATTCCAAATATTTTGCTTAAGCACTGTGCTATAATCTGGCTGCTTATAGTATTTTACAAGAGACAGACTTTTTAAAATGTTTCTAAATGAAGTTGTTATGAAAAAGGCAAACCATATTTGTAGAAAGCAACATTGATGAATTAGAAGAGCCAGTGGGTGTGACTGATATGGTTCATGAAACAGGTGGATATTTGAAACTATGACTGATACAATAAAAAGGAAAACTTGTTTGGAGAACTTAAGTTTGTTGATGATGTAATCTCACAAACCACTAGTAATTCTAGCTTTGTTTCTGGAGTCAAATTTAAAAGAGTGATAAAGAAATTTAAATCAGATGACTGAGATGGCTCGAAACACTTTGTTACAACTGGCTTGAATATTAATTTCTACATTGATTTTTACTTAAGAAAGCAATCACAAAGTCAAGATCCTTTTGCAAGAACACTGAATAGAGGTTATAGAGTTATTGATTTTGACAATAAAGAAATCTGACTTCAAGACCTACACACACACACACACAAACACACATACACATTATTGTAAATAACTCTAAATGTTAACTTGCCACATTGGCCAATGACTTCAGCTTCTATTCATAGTTTTGAATTTTTCAGGTTGGTTAACAGTTTAATAATATGTAAGACATCATTTTCATTTTGAACATTTTTTGATATGATCCAGGGCAATTTAGAGCCAAATAAAAATTCCAATGCAGAATGGAAACATATGTCTTGTTCAGAAAAAACATCTTTAGCAATGTTTCTGTTGTTACATTTTTGCACTTAGACTCCTTTCTTGGGAATATTTTTAACTCAAGGGCTCATATAAGATGAGATTGTTAATGGTGGTGAAAGATGCTGTTAAGTGATAATTTTACTGATTAAAGATAGAGCTAAGATGCTTTAACACTTGAATTTCAAAATATCCCCTTCAAAGGCCTTCGTATTAATTCACTAACACTTTTCTTCATTTCTTTTCTTCTGCTCTTCTTTTTCTCTCAGAAAATTAGAAAATTGTAATGAAAATTCTGATTAGATCCAATAGAATCTAAAAGGACTGGAGAGAAGAAATGGATTTATATCTTATATTGACAATAAATGTCACATCATGATCTTATATGAATGGTTTATTGAGAATTTATAATGCATAGTTAGAGAAAACCATGGAATTGTTCACAGATCACTGGAAACCCTAAATGTTCATTTAACCTTTGACCTTAGTGTCATGGAAACTTGTGGTCATCTTTCACCCATAACATCCTTGAAACTGAAAATTCTTTCAGGCCAGGAGATTTTCAATTACTTTATTGATCAAATTCATTTAAAAGATGATGAGCTACTCATTTGGACAGTAAAAAAGAAAAAAAAAAGAAACTAACCAGATGTCCATTGTCTATATGTAATGATTCCAGGGATATGACAATAAAAGCAGGTTACAACAATTCACTTGAATTCCATATAGATATTTAATTTAAAACAGAGAAGTAACATTATTTAAAATTTATTAAATAGTTTCTACTCTGGTAATGCAGGTCCATTTTTCTCACTGAATTTAAAATTATCCATAATATTTTGGAAATTGGACTTCTGTTTTTGACTCATGAAGAAAATTAATTTAATGAAACTTTCAATTTGAATACCTATTTGCATACCTATTGCTAGATGTGTCAGAATTGGTACAATATTGCATTTTCACATTCTCTGAAGATTATTTGACTTACTTCTAAAATGAAGAACCTGATAAAGAAAATTGGTGAACTAAATGACTCAAAGTTTTTGTAAAGGATACACAAAGAATATTTTTTCCTTAGGTTTTTATAAGGTTTTCTACATATGTACACCCACATTCTAATACATATTTTGATGTAGTATGTTTAGATTGATTCGAAGTCCAGTCTATCTTGACACACAGAAGACATATATCATAATCCTTTTTTAAAATCAAATTTGGTTGGCTTTCTCATGGTAGGCTCTGAAAGGGCTGTTTAATTTAATTTTTTCCCCAAAACTGTGAATTCTAGTAATAAAAATGTATACAGATTGAGAAATAGATAGTCATATAAACTAGTATTTATGGTAGACTAAGGAAATTATAGCATTAATAAGCAAAAAATATTTTTATTATGTACACTGTAGTGCAAGTTTACTTTCTTGAGAAAAGACACCTCTTCACAGTTGCTCAGCAATAACTCCACCATTTTTTCTTCTTGTGGAAGCTATACACATATATATTTTAATATTTTATATATATAATAAAGAGCATATTTGGATAATTAACCAAAATCTATGCAAAGTTTATGAAATTTCTCTTAAGAAATACTTCTTTGGACCTGGACATGTCAGTTTCATTATGAGGTGGTTTTCTAATGAACTGTAGGTGAAAACTTGCCTCCAATTGATTCCATACTTTCATTACCCATTTAAATAATTCTATACATTCTGATACACTTCCTAAATCATTATATAATACTTCTAAAGGCACTGATTACACTGCTACAAATCAATAGTTGATTAAAACAACACAGTGAACTAAGTTTATGAAATTATGGAAAATTTACTCAGTTGAACAAAGGAATTGATGTATGTATATATATAAACACAGATTTTTCATGAAAACCCCATTTTTGTCATGTCATAAATATAGTCTTAACTAGATTGTATTTTTTGCTTAATTGTATAGATGAATTAAATCATATCATCCAAATTATATTACTATAATCTAGAGTTCAATGTCACAATTTATATATGGTCTATATATTTTATATTTATATATATAGTCTAATATTTTAACATCAGCAAAAATATTATGGTCTATATAAATGCAGCATGCAATTGGTGCTGTAAAGGTAAAATTATATATTACACACATTTATAATAGAAGCAAAAGTGAAAATTGATGCTACTCATGTGATATTCCACAGGCTTTATTAAATATGCATAGGAGAGGTAAAATGACCATTTCATGAATGATTTCCATAAGCTCTCCACATTTCAATTTTAATACAATTAAGCCTTTCAGTAATACTAAGCCTTTCCAAGATGTCAGAATTTATCTCATCATCATCTTAACTATAGGCAACTCAAAGTAAGTTATAAGTAATAGTATGGCCTCACTAAAATATGTGAAGATGTATGTGTAGTATAGATAGATGATAGATACATAATGGATATAGAATATAGAGAAAAAATTATGCATAATATGTATGACTTTGGGGTTTTAATCTTATTTTTGATATAAGACTACCGATGATATAAAGACTACTGAATTTCATAAAAGTTAAAATATTCTGAAAATAATCTTTGTCCTTTAGTTTTGACAGATAGACCTCCACCTATAATTCTACAAGGCCCAGCTAACCAAACGCTAGCAGTAGATGGTACAGCATTACTGAAGTGTAAAGCTACTGGGGACCCGCTTCCTGTAATTAGCTGGTTAAAGGAGGGATTTACTTTTCTGGGTAGAGATCCAAGAGCAACTATACAAGAACAAGGAACCTTGCAGATTAAGAATTTACGGGTAAGTTATGTTGGACTTGTATTTGGATCTTCATCTCAATGTAGGTATGTGCTGTCTGAGGGAAAAACTGGGTTGTGATGTTAAAATCTTACATCCCTGCATATTTGCTGTACCTTTTATTATAAGCTATGTTGTTTCTTATTTTACAAATGACAAATTGAAATTAGAAGGAATTCATTGTCCTTATGTTAATCATAAGTTTATAGCAGATTTAGAAACTTTTTTGCCCCTTCACTCTAATCCATATGTATGCAATTGATGAAACTAAAAAGGTTAAATGCATGAAGTTAATAATAGTGATAGTATATTTAAAATAATTTGAAAGTGATGAATGCTCCTGATTTACTCTCATGAGCAAAGGAAGTTCACAAAGAAATGTGGATAAATTGACTCAGCTAAACAGTTATATGGAAAATAACCTAGAGATGAGGCCGATAAATACATAGCAAGCAGGTTTGACTAGCTGGTAGAGAATCTTATATTTTAGGTTAAGTTGCTGTGGAGTTTAGATTTAAACCTGTGAACAAGAACAAGACATTGCTAGTCTTATAACAGGAGATGACATTATAGAAAATGACCATTCCTGCCAACTTAAGAAGTTAGACTTGCTTCAGGAGCAACTCAAACTAAATGTTTATTTCTGAATATTGTACTACCTGTCTACTGCTGCGTAGCAGTTTTAGAAAACACTTAGAGGTTCAAAGCAACACACACTTTTATCTCATATTTTCTGTTGGGGTTAGGAACCTGGGCATGGCTTAGCAGGGCCTTCTGTTTCAGGGTCTCACAAAGCTACAATCAGAGTTGTAGTCTCATCTGAAAATTGGCTGGGGACGGATTTGCTTCCAAAGGACATGACTGTTAGCAGAATTCGGTTCCTTGTGGCTGTCAGACTGGTGATCTCAGCTTGCTTTCTGTTGACTGAAGGCTGCCTTCAGTTCCTTGCCATATAAATATTCCCAGTGTGATTGCTTGCTTCCTCAGTCAACAAGGAAGAGAGTTTCCTGGCAAGATAGGCATTAGACTCCTATATAACATAATCACAAATGTGACATCTTGTCCCCCTTGCCATATTCTATTGGCCAGAAGTAAGTCAGCAAGTCCCCCATATACTCAAGGTGAGGGATTACATAAGGTGTGAGTACCAGCAGGATGTTCTCATGGAGGCCACTTGCTCTCCACAAGTATATTCAATCCATTCAACCAAATATAGAAAACCTCCTCTCAATGTAGCAAGTACATGCTAAAGCCCAAGAGTATGTCAGATTAGTCACAAGACTGGGAATGAAAGCCAGAATTAGGATGCTTGATGTGCTAGTGCATGGAGAACAGTTGATTGAAAATAATTCAGTGGAAGAACAATTAGTAGAATCTAGAATCTAGGAATACATTGGGAACCAAGATGTTAAAAACAAACAGATAAACAAAAAGGTGCTGAATTTTCCCAGAAGCCAGAAGAGGAAGATAAAATATTTTTACTACCTATATTTTCAAATGATCACAATGGGGAGTGTTCTTTTCTTACAGTGTAAATTATTTAATAATTACATGTTCATCTGGTGTGTAGACTACAGATACATAACAAAAAGGAAGACTGACTACTTTTGCTGTGCACGCGCACAACACACACATACACAAATTCAAATCTTTACTCTGTTAATATAGTGAAAGTATGTCATTTTTTCATTTTAATTTTGACACAGGCATTAATTATTACTCTAAACAAAGTAAAGTAATACGAATTTTTATGCTGTCTTTTTATTGATTGTAAATTAATTGCTAATCTTCTTTGAACAAAATGGGAGTTATTAAAAAATTAATGCCACCTCTCCTTGAGTAAACAATTTAACTTCTGTCTGTGAGCTAAAGGCAGACTTGGGCCATGGAGGTTAATGCATTTCCACTGTACTGCTGAATTAAAGAGTGTGTTTGAATAGTTAAGATCCCCAGTAGTGTTTGAAAGAAGCAATTAAAGGTGGGCGCTTGATGATGTCAAACAAACTTTGAGCCCTCTGTCAGGATTCTGAGTTGTCTTTCTGAGATGCAAGCTCCTGGGGGCTTGTCTGCAGCCAAGTACACAAGGAGAAAATAGGTGATGGAGTGTGCCAGCACGTTAGTCTCTTTTTCAAAACCCTTGGTTAAGGATAAAAGGAGAAGGATGGAAAAGATATGGAGTGCTCATGAGCAGAAGAGATGTTATTTTAAGTTAAAGGTATAAAAATGAATGTGGTGATGACAATGATGAGAGCGTGAGCTTTAAGCAATGATATTTAGGCATTTGATACCGCTTTTCATAAACTCCAAAATGGAAACATTGTTATTTTCCTGTCTGATGACTGACTTTAATGGGAAATAAAATGTTTTACAGTACTTCGTTGGTACAGTCAAGATAGGGTTTCTCTAGGTCTTATTCCTTTGTGTCTCACTTTCTTTCCCAGTACTTAATGCAAAGAGGGAAAGACAGTGTGATGAACGCTGTGTTCTCATAGTCCAGGTAATTGGTAACTGAATCTGTTTCTTTTGAGAAATAGAATATTCCAATACTCATTAAAACATACCTACCACAGCTAATGTCAGCCTTGTATCTCCACACAATGACAAAGAGATGCAGTTAAGAAACATTACCTACATATTCTTCTTTTAGCATCTGCACATAATAACAAGTGCTGCATTTTAGTTCAACAGCCATAATAAAATGCAAATTCTTTACTCTTTCACAGACCATATTCAAATGAACATCCCATTAAAACCCAACCTTGGCTCATTACATTTAGTTTGTGAGTGATGCTTCTTAAATGCAGAGATTTCTAATGACTATAATGCGTGCACAGCCACATTTAAAAAACGGCTCTTTCTACAATGGCTATCCCCCATCATCCCTCTGTATAATAGAAGACAATTGTACAGAGATAATATGGCAAAGAATGACATGCCAGAGCAATTTAAAACTTAAGGTAAAATACATAACGACATTTAAAATCAATTAAAGTGGTGGAACGGCAGTAACATCCAGGCACTAATGATTTACCCGAGAATCAATTGTGGAAGGTTGAGTCATCAATACACTTACATTTTGAACCCGGCAGATATTATATTCCATGAACTCCCATATTTCATCAACAATTAGATTCATGTTCATCACAGAATTTTAATTCTACATCTTCTGCTCTGTTTTATTCTGTTTGGTCATCAGTGTCTCTTCCCAGTCTCACTTTTCCTTCACCCCTCGTCTAACGTGAATGAATGTTGTTTGCAGTGTAAGCCAGTGGGACTCAGCCACAGGGAGGATTTTTGATTTACATCTTATTGATCTTGGGGTTGTTGTCAAGGTATAATCACAGAGTCAGTTTTGTGCCTTTGACATTTAAAAAAGGGGAGCCTTGATTAGATTATCAACTATCTCTCAAAGTATTTTGCAGCTCTTCAGTGAGTAATGAAAACATTTTAAGTAATCAACAAATGACAACTTTAAGTATGCTTTCATAAGAGTTATATATTAGATTAGATCGATGACCCCTTTCAGCTCTAAATTACAATGATTCCATAGGTATTGCTTTTTTTGTCTTTAATGATACAATTTCATACCATTCACTGTTACACTGCTACAGTTTTAATATAACTGAATACACCCGTTAAAAGGAAAGATTTAGTTTTCCTTTAAAAAACTTTTTTCTTCACTTTTTTCCATGTCTCTAAAAATAAAGGAATGGTTGCCCCCCTGTTGGCTCAGTGCTTGTTTACTCCTGGGTGCATTTTATTGTTTGAAATATAGTTTATTGACGACAGGCAGGACAACTGCATTACTGATCTCTGAATGTTTACAGGATTCTGAAAAATTCTGTCCTGGGTTGACCACATCTAACTCTGACTCAGTGAAGCCCCAACATAAACTGGAGTTAAAAGATAAGAAAGAGTATTGCTGTGGAGGCAAGAAAGAAAAAAAAAACCTAAATTTTACCAAACAAATAGCATTTAGTTATAGAAATATAATAAAAATCTCTGAATCACTATTATGCATTATGTGAGTTTATTTTAACATTTTATGTGTACATGTAATTGACTTTAATGTATACTTTGGAAGGCTGATACATCACATTTTAGAAATCAAATATTGCCTTGTTAAGATTGATTAATTATTCTACAAATTAATTAAAACAATTTAATTCTCTCCCTCCTATGCGCACTAGACTTCTGACACTGGCACTTACACTTGTGTGGCCACAAGTTCAAGTGGGGAGACTTCCTGGAGTGCTGTGCTGGATGTGACAGGTGAATTCTTTATGAATTATTATTATTATAGAAGAAATGTCGAGCCAATTTGAGTGATTAGCTCATTATCAAATAACAAGTTAAGGAGAGATCAAGATTTTAATTCATTGAATGTAAAAACTAGGCTTTATGCCACTTTTTAATTTCAGTACCACTTTGGTCTATAGCATTGCATATATGAAATTTAATACATTTGTCCTTGATAACCTTGTTATTTTATTTCTCTGTCTAGTGAACAAACACTTCAGTGATTATATGTGAAAGTAAATATTTACTAATATGTAAGGAAAAGCAAGTATTCACTTAGATACTTTTGACTCATGAAAATGAATTGTTTACTGTCTAGTACAAATTCTTTAATAGACTATTTTCCCTCTCATAAGCATTATTGTCAGCTTTTGCAATCAGAAATGAAGCTTTTTCTGTTTGTCCTCTACAGAGTCTGGAGCAACAATCAGTAAAAATTATGATTTAAATGACCTGCCTGGACCACCATCCAAACCACAGGTCACAGATGTTACTAAGAACAGTGTCACCTTGTCCTGGCAACCAGGTACCCCTGGAACCCTCCCAGCAAGTGCATATATCATTGAGGCTTTCAGGTAGGGGACAGTTCCTTTTTCTCCATTGGGTTTTTGCTTTAGCTCCTATATCCTAAAATCTCAAGTGAGCTATTGTACTGTTTTATTTTAAGGACACTTGTAATCAGTGCATTTTAAGAATATATACTTTTATATCTGACTTTATTCAAGGTTCGACTTTAGCTGTATTCTTCATTCATGACTTAATTATAAGATTAAATATGTATTACCCATGCCTAAGTCTGTAGGGATGTATTTATGACATAATCACTTTGCTCTTTCCTTTACCCTGACCATTGGGATTTAAGATGAGAATTTTGGCTTTACACTAAGCAGAAAGCAATTTAAATTAGGCACAGGCACTTTTTAAGTTATGCAACATTTATTGAGGCATGGAACCTTGGAAATTTGCTTGCTAATAATTAGAGCGGAATTTAAAATAATTCCAATGTTTTTATGCTATATATTTGAATACACATATTGGCTATGCCTAAGAGAAAATTAAAAACTGCAACTAAGGGATTGATTACATGTACTTGTGACTGCTGAACAGAAAAGACAGGTCCAATTGTTATTTGAAAGAATTGCCATTCATTTAAGGATATAGACTATAAATTGGCAAATACCATTATAAAATTATTTTATGAGAATTTGATGAAATAGATATACAAATAGGAAAATGTAGCTTTACTGTCAGTTTCAATGTGTTTCTGTTTGCCATTATAAATATAGTGATAGCCTCTGTTCTTTTTAAGCTTTAGGACAAATCATCACTTTTATTTTAGGCTTCCCTGATTTAATAAAGTTAATGACCAATGCATAGTTTTCAAATTTCAAAGTAGTATTTTTTTCCTATAATTTTCATGCTTAGATGCGTAAGGACTTCTGAAAAATAAGCAGGCAGCCCTAAAAAAATCACATTTTCTCCTCATTCTAAACAAAAGCAGCGTTTGATCTTAGACAAAATGTTACAAACTGGCATCCTATCTGTAAATGGCTGTTAAGGGGGTCCACACATACAGAGTCAGAGATATTTCACCGTTCTGAGATGAGAAATCACAATACTGTGTAATGTACAATTTTATTAAAACTGTGACCGAGGGAAAATATTCATTACATGCTTCCTTTCTTCTTTTACAGATATGTAGTTTTAGAAGGCTCTATTATAATATTGCATGTGGAATTGATGCAAAAGAAAACACAGCTTGTAACAGGAAAATGTATTGGCATAACTTACTCTGTAGTCCATTTATTCTTTCTACAGGTTAATTCTTTTCAAGGTATATATATACATTTACGAGGACCATATTTATTGTATAAACTTGATGTTGTGATCTTGGCCTCTGTTCCTTTTACAGGTATTCATTTAGTGGGCTGCTGTGCTTTAGCAAAGGGCTATCACATCTCCTGGGCTGAGTTTAATTTTGTTGTGCATGGCACTTCCGTTAGGTGGGCTCGGCTTTGTTGTTGAATAAACTGAAACCATCCAAATGTTTCATTTATTGGGCTGAACACTTCAAGCGTTGTGTGTGTGTGTGTTTAATTTTCAGCCATTAACCTTTGTCATTGATACCCAACTCCATTTCCAAGACCCTTATGACTGCTCTTTAAATGAAATTTCTGTTCATGTTTCAGCCAATCAGTGAGCAATAGCTGGCAAACAGTGGCAAACCATGTAAAGACCACCCTCTATACAGTGAGAGGACTGCGGCCCAATACAATTTATTTATTCATGGTCAGAGCAATCAACCCCCAAGGTCTCAGCGACCCAAGTGCTATGTCAGATCCTGTGCGCACACAAGGTAATTTCAATAGCTGTAAACAAGACTGGCTCTAGAAGGAGGCATTAAATAGATCTTTAAGGACAAAGGAATTGTAGGACAAAAGATAAATGCGTCCTCATTGCTCATTAGAATGTTTCGCTAGACCTGATCTAGTGAGAGAGAAGAGAACTTGCTGTTCACCTTGGTGAGTATGTCCCCTTTCTGGAGCTATTTAGGGTCTACTTAGTAACAAAAAAGGAACAAAATAAGTGGGAACAATTACACAGTGAACGTGGATCCACTAAGTTAGGGCTTTACACGATTTCAAAGGGAGGAAAAATGTTTCTTCTTCTTTGAAATTAATTATACAATAGCAAAAAGTGATCTTTAATGGATAATATGCCCAGTTAGAGATATCAAAATTACTACCTGTGGTTCAGGAGTTGTGTTTTTATAGTGCTGTGGGGCTCAAGGTGTGGTTCCCACAGAAGCAGCATCTGCATCACCTGGGACCACATTAGAAATGCAGGTTCTCAGGCCCTAACTCGGAAGCTCTCCGGTGCAGCCCAGCAGTCTGTTACAGTGCCCTCCAGGGAATGCTGATGCTCAGGTTTGACAAGCATCGCTACAGTGTATTTTATTAAACCACATGTTTAAAGGAAAAGTTTGTTTCAGAAAGCAGTAAATCAAGCTTGCTTTCAGAGGTAATCAGTTCTTTTGGCTAACTGAAAAAAAACTCCACTCAGAATATTATCATATAAGTTCAAAATGGAAGATTTCTGATCTCATCTTGAGTAGCCTGTCTCTTCAAACTAAGTCCAGGGGTTAATATGGAATGTTGAATTATAATTTCCCTTCTTACTGGTAGAGGAGAGGAATGAATAAAATAGAAATTGTGGCTTTATTATTTGTTAAAACTTACTTCCCACAGGGTTCTTAAGAAAGGGTTAATTATTTCTTATTTGTAAAAGTCTTTGAACAAGATATAATTCAAAGTAGTATTTTTATGCTATGAAAAGCACCATACAGCCATAAAATATTATTATAATTACAATGTAGTTCTGTGATAGTAACTAGCATGCTATTATAGTAGAGAAGGGTGCCTTAAAGGAATCAAGTCAAATAGTCACCACGTGATTTTGCAACGTTGCTGACATGATGACAGTCAAGGGAGGAGGGGATGCCACTTTGCTATTGTTCTCTGAGCAGTAATGTGATTAATTTTCCATGATGATAAAGGGCCTGTAGGTAAAGAACCTGTCTCCAGAGAAAGAAAAAGTACAACAGGGAATTTGAAGATCTGAAACTGGTTCTG